GATATTGTCCAACAAGAAATTACTTTTCACCTGACTTAAGCAACTATAACCCTCTTTGTATAGCACCTTTAAAATAACAATTTCAGAAGTGGTGCTGTAGCTCAAGTGGTAAAATGCTAGCCTTGAGTACTAAGAGGTTCAGGGACAGTACGCAGACCTTGAGTTCAAGCCCCAGGACCTATAAAATAAATTAAATTGCAAGTGGCACTGTGGCTCAAAGTGGCAGAGCTGTAGCCTTGAGCAAAAGAGCTCAGGGACAGCACCCAGGCCCTGAGTTCAAGCCCACAACCAACAACAACAACAAAAATTAAATTAAAAAATTTTTTGCTGGGCACTGGTGGCTCAAGTCTGTAATCCTAGCTATTCAGGAAGCTATTCAAAGCCAGCCCAGGCAGGAAAGGCTCAGAGACTCTTATCTCCAATTAACCACCAGAAAAACAAAGTGGCACTGGAGTTCAAAGAGGTAGAGACTAGCCTCGAGCAAAAAGAGCTCAGCTAAGCCTAGGCCCAGAATTCAAGCCCAGGAGCAACCAAAACATTTTTTTTTTTAATGATTAGAAATAGGAGTTGCAGGGAACAGCAAACTAAAGCAAAGCTACAGGTAGATATGGTTATCTTCCTGATGGTTATGCCCTCTGATCCTTGCTGTTTCCTGTATCCTGTATCTCTTCCAACATACCCCTAACTTTCTCTTGCCAAAGAACTGATCACGTCATAACTGCCTATTTATATTTGTCTCCCACACTAAGGCTGTCTTCTTAGCCATTTCAACCCCAGTTGTCTAGTACTAGGCCAACATGTAGCAATTTCCTAATAAGTACTTGTTGAATGAATGAATGAACAAATGAACAAGAGAAAGAAACTAGGGAAGCTCAAGGCCATGAACCAGAACCTTTGATAACAACTAGGATTCAGTTCTGGTTCTAGAGGAAAACTACTAGCATCTTGTTTAGGGGCAACCAGGCCCCTTTTGGGTGGATAAGACCAACACTGGAGACAGCAAAAATACCATGATTCAGAGTACACCAGATCCCAGAGAAGGTGACATTGAAAAAGAGCCTTATGGCCTTTGTAAGACTTGTGAGGCTGGGATTTAGTCATGATAATGAGGAGTTCTGAACATGAAAGTCATTACATAGGTGTAGCAGCCCCACAAGTGAAGCTGTTAATGGATCTCCAAACCTAGAAAGGAGGTCCTCACTGGAGCCTGAATATTAGTCCTGTCAATACATCCCAGTCACAGGAAGTCAGGGAAAGAAGAGAGTGACGACTGATAAACAAGGAGAAATTGCCAAGAGAATTACAATTGCAGCTTTGTCTAATTAAGATGAGACTGTGGGGGTGTCATTTAAACATAATCAAGAATGGATAGCTCTAGAACAAATTCTGGTGAGTTAAGCCGTGCTCAGAGAGGCCAATGGTGCATGTTTTCTCTGATATAGAGAAGCTAGAATCTAAACTACTATGGGACATGATAAATTATACAGGCCTCTAGGCATTCACACACAGTGAGACCAAAGGAGGGTACAATTAATGGAAAACACAAAGGAGTAGTGCCTGTGTGCATCTGGATCATATAGAAGAATACTTATTGAAATGAGTTCCAGGCAATGGAAACAAGGGGGTTTTTTCTTTTGTTGCTGTTTTCCTTTTCTTTTTGTCTTGTTTATTCATTTATCTATCTTTGGGAGGCTTGAAGGGAAGCACAGAAATAGTGGGACAAAAGGTGAACAAATGCAACAGTGGTACTCACTAGACACCATGTTGAAAATAAACTCTACAACTTGTGGGTAGGGATGGGAGGGGAAAACTGGGAAAAACAAGAGAAGGGGTGACACTGTCCAAAAAGAAATGTATTCTTTACTTGACTTATGTAACTGTAACCCTTCTATACGCCACCTTTATAATAACAATAGAATATTTTTATTTTAAAAATAATCAAATGTTTTGGGGGATCTATGATTTTTAAAAAGGGGGGTGCTGGGAAGGTGGCTTAGTGGTAGAGTGCTTGCCTAGCATGCATGAGGACCTGGGTTTGATTCTTCAGTGCCACATACACAGGAAAAAGCTTGAAGTGGCGCTGTGGTTCAAGTGTAGAGTGCTAGCCTTGAGCAAAAGAAGCTCAGGGACAGTGCCCAGGCCTTGAATTCAAGTCCCAGAACTGGAGAAAAAAGTCCCCAATGAAGATTTAAATGATCATGCTGTCCATACAGCTTTGCCCCTTACACCTGATTAGTGAGATCTCTATCCCTCAGCCCCCACATCCTCTAAATGGCAAGAAATATGGCAAGGGCCTGGTGCAGGGCTCCCATGCAGTAGACTCCCAAAATGATCCCTGTTATAAATGTGGACACCAGGATTTCAGCTCCACAAAGAGACCAACACACCCAATGTCTGAAGGGACTGTACCCCTCCTTCCCCAGTACATAGCACTTCTCAAACGTACACAAACATCAGTCAACAGCAGCTGCTTTGAGATTTTCTTCAAGGAAATGAATAACTACTCACCAAGGACTACAGGTCCTGGAGCTGTGGGCCTCTGAGTAGGGTTGTTAAGTTATAGACGCCTGCTTGTACGTCAAACTCCAAGATTAGAGGCAGGACCCTGAGCAGATCATACACTATTACTTCCCAATTGGAGCAGGACGGAGGAAGAGGATCTCTCAAAATACAGCACTTTTAGTGGCACTGTGGCTCAAATGGTAGAGCACTAGCCTTGAGCTAAAGAAGCTCAGGGACAGTGCCCAGGTCCTGAGTTCAAGCCCCAGGACTGGCCAAAACAAAAAATTTTAATACACCTTTTTCTTGATCTTACAATTCTTAATATTAGCATCACATTTGAATCACATTAGACTCATATTAGAATCCTTCCTTAAAACAAAAAAAAGTTTACCTCTAGACATAAAATAAGACCCTTTTTAAAAAAAAAATCAAGCTCGGATGCTTTGTTTTTTTCAAAGATTTTTTTTCCCACAGGTTATTGTGATGGACTAATGCACATGCAGAAATCTATGGAAGGCACACTAGCCTCACTTGGAAGCTGGTCTAAAATTTCCATGGATCTGCTCTAAATAATTCAGAATCAACACTGAATTCAAATCTTCATTTGAACAAAACTTCTCTGACAATCACATCAAAGATTGAGAAGCAATGGCTGGTACCCATTACTCTGCTACACAATAGAATCATCTAGAAGATTTAGTTTTCTTTAAATTTAAGAGCCACCTCCTGACTTTTCTATTTAATCAATCTGAGGAAGACCTAACCTCTGTACCATGAAAAATCACCCCTGGATTTATTGACTTTCTTTGAGTATAGACAGGACAGAGGACCACAGTGCTAAGTGGACAGTGCCTCGGTGCTCAGATTCTCAGCAAAGAAGGTGCTGATGCTATGAAAGATGATCTTTAACAGAATTCTCACAAATTTAACAAGTGAGGTCTGTCTAACAGGCAGTGTTCTAGCAACATACTAAAGAAATGTCTACTTCCTGTGGTGTGCTTACAGTTATATGTATGTACACATGTGTTTTCTTTCTTTCTTTCTTTGATGATCCTGGGGCTTGAATGCAGGGCCTGGCCACTGTCCCTGAGCTTCTTTTTTTCTTTTTTTTGGTTGGTCATGGGGCTTGAACTCTGTGCTTGGGCACTGTCCCTGCGCTCTTCAGCTCAAGGCAAGCGCTCTGCCGCTTCCAGTTTTCTAGTGGTTAATTGGAGATAAGAGTCTCATGGACTTTCCTGCCCAGGCTGGCTTTGAACTGCGATCCTCAGATCTCAGCCTACTGAGTAGCTAAGATTACAGGCGCCCGGCTTCCCTGAGCTTCTTTTGCTCAAGGCTAGCAGTCTACCACTTGAGCCACAGAACCACTTCCAGGTTTTTCTGTGTATGTGGTACTGTGGAATCGAACCCAGGGCTTCATGCATGCTAACCAAGCACTCTACCACTAAGCCACATTCCCAGCCCTCGTGTATTTTCTTTGTCCCTGTAAGGCTGTATTTGTATCAAGACAATAACTAAATAAGAATGTTCTACATTTAGGAACATGATTCATATTAGTGATCAATAATGCTAAATACTTATATTAAAAATAAACATGGAAGCCAGTTGCTGGTGGCTTCTGCCTATGTAATCCTAGCTACTCAAGAGACTGAGATCTGAGGATTGGAGTTCAAAGCCAGCCAGCGCAGAAAATTCTGAGACACTCCTTTTTGTTTTGTTATGATTTTTGTTTTGTTTTGTTTGTTTTTTGTTTTGGGTCCGGTCGTTGGGCCTGAACTCTGAGCCTGGGCGCTGTCCCTCAGCTCTTTAGCTTAAGGCTAGCGCTCTACCACTTGAGCCACAGACAGCGCCACTTCCGGCTTTCTTCTTTTTGCTTATGTGGTGCTGAAGAATCGAACACAGGGCCTCAGGCATGCAAGGCAAGCGCTCTACCACTAAGCCACCTTCCCAGCCCCATTCTGAGACACTCTTATCTCGAACTAACAACCAAAAAACCAGAAGTGAAGCTGTGGCTCAAGTGGTAGATTGCTAGCCTTGAGGGAAAGAGCTCAGGGATATTGCCCCAGCTCTGAGTTCAAGCCCCACAGCTGGTATGGATAGACAGACAGAGAGACAGATGAGTTAAATAAACATGGAGATGCTATGTAGTAGAATATATCATTTTTGTGAGTTCTGAGGATAAGCTGTAAGACTTCTAAGGGGGTTTGTCTTTTAGTGGCATCTCCAGGTGCTGGCCCAGATCTTCTAGCGGAGTGAAGTTATCCTCCCTCTGCCCTTGGAACTGGTTAAAGGGAAAGGCTTGAGGAACACTGACCCACAGGAATGATTGAAATGTGATCCCCTTACTTGACTTGGTTTCAAATCCTTAGCAGTTGGTGAGCGTTGGCTTAACTCAAATGCTAGAAATACCAGAGCGTTTGTCACTTCCATCTTAGGCAAGGGGTGAGTGCTGCAACATTCACAGAAGCTAAAATAAATTCTAAAAAGCCACCATCTTCATGGTTGAGTTGACTTTATTGACATGGGAGTTAGAGAAGTTAACAGAGACTTCCTTTAGCATTGCTTCTGGCGGGTTGAATGAGAGTTTGGTAACAGGCAGTGCGGATTGTGGGGAGAGAGTGTGGTGAGACACATCAGGGGCTGTTCTAGTGTGGCAGCATCATGAATCCAGTTTGCCTTTGACCTTGTAGCCTGTCTAACCCATGGGCAGTAGGAGTTGGGGCTAGCTCTAGTGTTCACTGGTCACCAGGCAGGCCATGCAAGCAGCATCTTTACTGAACACATGATCACTCCTAGTGCTGGGATAGGTCAGGCATTGTGAGTGTGGGTCAGAGGAGCTTGGGGGTGCCAAGAGTGACAGCCCATGACAGCTGTGGGCTCTCAGGGCAGGCAGGAGGCACCCCAGGGCATCTAGGCAGGCCTGGGAACAACTCCTGGCCTCTCAGTACTGATAGGACCTCACAAGGAGCCACATGAGGAGAACAGTGATGAGGACCACGGTGAAGTTGAGGAACAGCTCCTGGGTGGACCGCTCCATCCTCACACTGGCTGGGGAGGACTTCCGGCAGACTCAACTTCGGGCAGACTCAACTTCCGGCAGACTCGCCTTCCGGCTTGTCTTCACCTCCTAAGAGGAAGCAACCAAATCAAGACATAGGGAGGTAAAGGAGGGTTAATATAAGATGATATTTGTTGACAGTGTCCCCCTTGAGATGTTTATGTTTAAAGCCCTAATTCCCTAAGGATGTGGCTGCATTGGGAGAGAGCATCTTGAGGTCACTAAGCCTAAGAGTACTGATTTATGTTTGTAATCCCAGCTACTCAGGAGGCCCTAGGTAATAGGATTGCAGGCCCAGGCAAACTTTAGGGGAAAAGCATGAGACATTACTAGGAAAAAAGAAAAAGAAGCCTACAGCAAATAGAGCTGGAGGCATGACTCAAGTACCAATACAAGCAAGCAAACAAACAAAAATGAGGTCACTCAGGTAGACCTTGATGCAAGGTGACTGGTGTCCTGTTAAGAACAGGGGATTATGTTGGTGGCTCGTGCCTGTAATCCTAGCTACTCAGGAGTCTGAGATCTGAGGATTGGGGTTCAAAGCCAGTTCATGAAGGAAAGTCCATGAGACTGTTATCTTCAGTTAACCACCAGAAAACTGGAAGTGGAGCTATGGCTCAAAGTGTTAGTGTGCTAACCTTGAGAGATCTTTCTCTCAAGAGAGATCTCTCAAGAGATCTCTCTCTTGGGCTCAGGGACAGAGCCCAATCCCTGAGCTCAAGCTCTACAACCAACAACAAAAAAAAAAAAAGGAAGAAAAAGAGGGGATTAAAAGACCAGACACAGTGACTAGGACTGTAATCCCAGCTATTTGACAGACAGAGATTGGAGGATCACAGTTGGAGTGAGCCTAGGCATAAAAAGTTGAGAGACTTTTCTCACTCAATGGCTGGTCATGGTGGTGGTGAGCTGTTATCCCAGCTACAGGAGAACACAATGGTTAAGTGTAGTGGTTTGTGCCTACCATCTCCAGTAACAACACAGGGAAGCCCGAGGTAGATAGAAGCCTACGTCAGCCTGGGCAGAGAGCATGACCCTACCTTGGAAAGGTAAAAAAAAGGGCAAAAAGGGACTGCAGGCTTGGTTCAGGAGATAGAATATCTACCTAGGAATTATGAGGCCCTGTGCCTTGTGGGGGGAGCCGGGGGAGAAAAATAACTAAAGAAAGGAAACAACGAAGGTATTAAGGAACCCAAAGTGTGAGCGCAGGAAGAAGGTTGCCATTCCAAGATCAAGGAGTCGTAATGCAACCTTGCCCATCCCAGATGTCCAACATCTGTCCTTGGACTATCTCTGAACAAGGGCTGCCACTCTTCACTCCAGCTTACCGTGGAGATTTCAGACTTGTCAGCATCCACAGTGACATGAGTCAATACCTTAAACCACACACACACACACACACACACACACACAACTTGTATTAATATTAAGAGTCTGGCTTCCCTTCCTGGTATCACAAAAACCAATATTTTTGTTCTGATTCTTCTCTTCCTTTGTACTTTCTTTGTACTTTGTACTTTCTCTGTACTGGTGCTTTTAACCAAATTTAAAGCATTTCATTTCTTTCTGACTCCTGTGTGTATGAACGCATGTGTTTATTTCACTAACTTAAAGGCATCAGCAAGTACAGACACCAAAAGAAAAGAATGTTACAGTTCAGTGTTGCCCATGAGACACTGAATTATCTATCCTTGGGCGGAGGATCACATAATCCTCTGGATTTCAGGCTGCTCTAAGTCTTCATCCAGCCCCAGCTGAAGGTGTAAAATAGTGCCAACAGCTGCATGGCTTTGCATTGGGCACAAAGCCTACTGGGGGGTCAACCAAAAGTCCCTTGCTAGTCAGTCCAAAGAGCAAGTGTTAACCTCATGAGCATTTCAGCTTCAGGGCTTGTGCCAGCTATTTTTAGTCCAGCCCAGGATGTGCCTAGATTGTAAACATTTCAAAGAGCAGGATTGGAATCTTCAGAGTGCGTGCACATTGTACTTGCAGGAAACCACACCTCGAGAACATAGATGATACCATCCATCAAATTACTCCCTTTGGTGCTGTAGAGTGACAATGTAGATAACATACCAGTGTTCTGTTCTTTAGATAATTTTAGGTAGACACCTACATTTTAGATATTCACGGTGAAGTTTTACTATTGAATGTAAAACCTTAACAAAATAGTATTTTGTTTGCTAAGGGTGAGAGTTTGAGGGGTCGAAAGCTCTCGTAGTCAAGTTTTTGTCTGAATATTTTGAGCCATCTAACCAAATAGAACTATCGGCTTGAATTACTGTATCTGGTATAGCATCAATGGATCAAATTATTCGTTCTAGCCGAATAGTTCATTTTAATTGTGTAATTGTTGGTGCCAACCACGTGGTACTAACCAGTTAGTTGTTGAATCTTGGTTTAGCACACAGCCAATAATGATTGGTTTACATTGCCTTTCTCTTTTAGTTCTTCATCATCTTTGGTCCACAGCAGGAAGTGGTCATTTGCCAATGGGAATCTTTCCAAAGATTTGCTTGAAGGGAGAATTAAACAACCAAAAAGTGATAGGTGAAGGAGGAAGTAAGAATATGACCAAATGCCCACAAGCTCAAAAAACGGGAGGAGAATCAGTCTAGACATGGGGCCTGGAGACAAAGGAATCAAAGACCAGCTCTTACTATAAACTTATTAATGAGATCAAACCATGACCTAAATGCCCATTTGTTTATTTGAGTAAGTTATCAAGAAATGTGGAGATAGGCAAGAAAAAAAAAAGCAAAAACCAGTTTATAGTGATCAAAGTAACCCAGTTCAGGAAGAGCAAATTAACTGACCCACCAGATCTGCTGATTAGAGTAAGCTCTTATATTAGAAGGAATCATGGGCTGGGAATGTGACTTAATGGTAGAGTGCTTGCCTAGCATGCATGCGTGGAGCCTGGGTTTCATTCCTCAGTACCACATAAACAGAAAAAGGTGGACGTGGAGCTGTGGCTCAAATGGTAGAGTGCTAGCCTTGAGCAAAAGAAGCTCAGGGACAATTTCCAGGCCATGAGTTCAAGCCCCAGGACTGACAAACTAAAGAAAATGAATCATGATTTGGGATCCAATAGGAAAACACTTGGGGGGAATAAAAAAGAGGAAAATGCTATTGGAAGTTTTTCCAATTACCTTCATAACTTAGGCAAGTATTACTGTGGGTTTTGTCTGTCCCAAAAACTTAGCTGAGAAATTGACTTTTAAAAGAGAGGCTGTTTTTGTAGCAAAGAAAGTTAGAGGGCTAGGAAGGTGGCTCAGTGGTAGAGCGCTTGCCTTGCATGCATGAGGCCCTGGGTTCGATTCCTCAGCACCACGTAAGCAGGAAAAAAAAAGCCGGAAGTGGCGCTGTGGATCAAGTGGTAGAGCGCTAGCCTTGAGCTGAAGAGCTGAGGGACAGGGCCCAGACCCAGAGTTCAGGCCCCACGACCGGACTGCCCCCCACACACACACACAAAAAAGAAAATTAGAGGCAGACCTACAAGTGACAGACAAGAGCTAGTTCCCAGAATTGCGGTCACCTCTTAAGAATATTACAGCAGGTTATTACTGCAACTAAATTAAGTGTGAATTTTCAGTCACTTTGACAATGTGGCACTTTTTTAATTAAGGTAGAAAATGTTCTTCCTTAATGCTTACAGTTTAACTTCTACCTTAGATTCTCAAATACACGGGCACCAGGATTCATGTACAAGGATGTTCAAGGTAGCATAGGAACTCCAAAGTGTAAAAAAATAAATAAATAAAATAAAAAAATTTAAAAAAATCACAAATGTTCGTCAACACTTGAATGGCTGAATAGTATATGGAGACATTTGAAAGCTATTGAACAGAGAAAATGTAAGCACTACTGTAGTACTGATGAGCAAAAGAAGAATATACAAAAGAAACAGTTGGTTCCTTTTATAGAATCAAAGACAAAGAACTTGTTTAGGAATGTACAAATATATGGGAAAGCACTAAGAAAAGGAAGGTCAAAACTACTTCAATAGTTGGGACAGACAGCAGAAAGGGAGGTGATCAGGAATAGATTTCTGGGTGCTAGTAAATGATCAGGTTTTTGGTAAATGATCATTATATGTGTGGCTAATAATTATTGCTAGACTGCTCATGTTTTATGCATTCTGAATTGACAGCTACTGAGCACACTTCTTTCCCATGGCTTACCTCGTAACTATTTTTTGAACTTTGACAGTGACTGCAAGTATTTGTTCGGTCATGTATTTTAACTGAATAAAACGGGGAAAATAAGGTGAGAATTTCCAATTGGCCCAATTCAATCAACACATACAACTGTAAGGTGAAGATGAATTTTCACATATATTTACATATTTAGGAAGGATGACTCAAAGTTAGGCAGGAATCAGAACAGACATCCTTTCCACTGTTAGTCCATAAAACATTCCGTCTCTCATTTTAATTCTTCCCTGGGGTATATGACCCAAAGTGATTGCCACATGGATCTACTAAAACCCAAAAGGCTATGAGCAAAATTGCACCCTAAGTTCAATGGTGGTTTTCAGTGATTAGAAACTTTGAGGAGATGGAAAATAGACTCTCTTCTAAGATAGGAAGAAAGACATTTTAAAAAGTAAGAAGGGAGAAAATACATACCAATGAAAAACAGGAATCAATAATAATAATAATACTTTACGTCTTAAATGTCATTGCAACCTACACACACACACACACACACACACACACACACACACACACAGGCAGATAACTCTGCTGTTACCTGATGGGGGTCAAGGACACACCTGGGCTATGGCACGCTTCTTCCTTACTCTCTCCAATTCAGCCTCCAACTCCTGCTGTCTCCCTGGCTGCCTGGACCCTTGGACTCTCAGCAGGGCCTAAAGTAGACTGAGGGCGGTGACAATCTGTGTGACGTCACCGATGAAGCACCTCACAAGAGCCACTCGGAAGATTCGAGCCTATTTCTGTTCAGAAGGACATGGAAGTGTGGTGACTAAGACTTTGTTCCTTTGGCTGCCAATTTGGACTAAATACCACCCAGGAATTTTAAAGCCTTGGGTTTCTAGCTGACTTTCAGGGCAACTGGTGTGACTTTTACATCAATCTTTTATATCTTTATGTCTAACGTGCCTTTAAAGCATCATAAATCAAGAGTGACAGACTTGATTTAGCACATTGGCGCTTCAGTTAACTGCTCTCCCTGCTTAGCGGGCGAGGGTGTAAAACTGTGACTTCACTTTACCACCCATATGTTTAGGCATTTGAAATGCGAAGAATCCTCTGCCTTGAACCCAGACATGTGTGCGTGTGCATGCACACACAGACACGCACACACACACACACTGAAGAATTTCACAGGCTTTCTCCAAAACTGGCATTAGTCTAAGCCATGAAAGTTTTTCTCTTCGTCCCTTGCTCCATGTAACTTTCCAGCTAACCCATGAGGTACAAGTTTACACATTCATCTAGTTCCTTCTGCAACCGCCAAGCAAACCATAGGCTGTATGGACCTGTTGATGAATTACCATCACAGTCAACTCAAAGCTAGACTTTCAATCATTTGGGTCAGAGTTTGGAGACCTGCTCCAATTTAATGAAAACACAACTTCTACACTCTAGATATATGTAGACTACATCTGAAAGAAAGGAAATTATGTGATTTCTCTAACACTACCACTGACTAAAATCAGACTGTGATGAGTTTATTATCCACAAGTCACATGTTTGAAGGTCAATGAAGCCTCTGAAGTATTTAATTAGACTTGAAAGCACATCAGATAAATACTCTAAACATGACAGGGGCAATTGTGTTGCTTGGCAGATACTTCCTTGACACATAATAGAATAAATTCTCCCTTATAAATTCCCAACTAGGGTCATTTGAAATAATATACTCCCAGGAAACATCAACAAATGAAATTCTCTGTAATTGTCCATAGTCCACCCTTTCTCACTGTTCTTCATACACTAAAGGCTCCACTAAAGGACTTTCCATCCATTTCTCCATTTCAACAGAAGCTCACAGAGGGAAATCTCAATACAGCATTCTATCGCCACCTGTCTTGTAAGAAGATAGCTTGCTGAAATGACAGCTAGTCTCGATTAATTATAGCACCATCGAACTTTGGCAGTTATTTGCTACCATCTGGCAAACTTTGACTGTAGTCAGATTTCTGTCTTTTGCCTCCCAACCCTTGCCAGATTGTTTCAAATGCTGGAAATGTTTTCCTCGTCACCAAACCACACCTGCCCCTTTTTTTAACCACCCAAAATTAGTGTTTGTCCAATTAAAATGTAACATTTACTGTCATATATTTGAAAGCACCCCAAGTTATAACAATTGGAATTATCACGAATCCCACCATCCCAAGAGGAAACAAAAAAGAACATTATGTTATAGACAAAAACCTCAAAGTCCCAAAGTATTTTTGGTAAAGGATTCTGATACTGAAAAAAAAATTTCTTTTTTTTTTAAATTCTGTTAGAATTAATTATACCATGTGTTAGTATTGGGTTTCTAGGAAAGGTATCTAGTTTTAAAATGTTTGAATTACAGGCTGATACCTATAATCCTAACTACTCAGGAGGCTGAGATTTAAGGATCATGATTTGAAGCCAGCCTGAGCCCGAAAATCTATGACTCTTATCTTCAATTAAGCAGAAAAAGACAGAAATAGAACTATGACTCAAGTGGTAGAGCCTTGAGTCACAAAAGCTCAGGGACAGTGCCTAGACTCTGAGTTCAGGTCCCCAAACTAGCACACACCAAAAACACAGGAATATGAATTTGCTCTACCATATTTAAAAATGTTTAAGATAGTACCACATGTTGACATATTACTGAAATAGCTATCCAGTGCTATTAACTTAGTTGAATTGGTCAATTTCAATGTAATGTCAGCTATTTATTTATTTAGAAATTGGGCCAATTCTTGCTACATCATCTCCTACCTCAGACCCACCTTTTACCCTTTGTTGTGACCCTGGAACTCGATTCTGCATTCTCCATTTCCTCAATTTCAATGTAATTTGAGAGGAAAAAAAAATCTCACCTTTTTTTGAGTGATTTGTTGAGTTAGGTCCACTTGTCTCTCTGCTCATCTTCTTTAAGTATTTCTAACATTGTTACCAAGTAATATTGGGCCCAATATGTTGACAGAATCCTCAACATCAGAAGTTTCTGACTATCAATGTTTCCTTCCATGATGTCAGAACCGGGTAACAGAAGTTAGCTTGTCATTAGTTTGACCTAATCTTGTCTAGAAAAATATACAAGCTATGCAAAACCATCTGACATACATTCAAAAGTTTTAGGGAAGCCGGGCGCTGGTGGCTCACGCCTGTAATCCTAGCTACTCAGGAGGCTGAGATCTGAGGATCGCAGTTCAAAGCCAGCCCGGGCAGGAGAGACCGTGA